ACAGGAGACAGGAGACAAGAGACAGGAGTCGAGAGACGGGAGACAAGAGACAGCGACAGGAGACAAGAGACAGAGACAGGAGACAAGAGACAGGAGTCAAGAGACAGGAGACAGGAGACAAGAGACAGCGACAGGAGACAGGAGACAAGAGACAGAGACAAGATACAGCAACAGGAGACAGAAGACAAGAGACAGAGACAGGAGACAAGAGACAGGAGTTGAGAGACGGGAGACAAGAGACAGGAGACGGGAGACAAGAGACAGCGACAGGAGACAGGAGACAGGAGACAAGAGACAGGAGTCGAGAGACGGGAGACAAGAGACAGCGACAGGAGACAAGAGACGGAGACAAGAGACAGGAGACAGGAGACAAGAGACAGCGACAGGAGACAGGAGACAAGAGACAGAGACAAGAGACAGCAACAGGAGACAGAGACAGGAGACAAGACACAGGAGTCGAGAGACGGGAGACAAGAGACAGCGACAAGAGACAGGAGACGGGAGACAAGAGACAGCGACAGGAGACAAGAGACAGGAGACAGGAGTCGAGAGACAGGAGTCGAGAGACGGGAGACAGAGACAGGAGACAGTNAGAGACAGGAGTCGAGAGACGGGAGACAGAGACAGGAGACAGTGTGAGCACTGATACAGCGACACAGCTGAGTGATGGTTCAGTGTGTCGCTGTAACTATAACTATAAATGTGTGATGAAGGTCGATGCGTGATTCTCACCGTGTACCTGGCCTTCCACACCGGCACCTGACAGGACAGGATGTTCAGGTACTTCCTGGGCTGTCGGTAATCCCAAAACTACACACACAAACAACAAGAGAGAAAATACACAAGTTACACACTGACAGCAGAGATGATTTCAAGTTGTTGTCTTTATCTTCAGCCATGACCTCACACATATCCTTCATGTTAAAGCCACGTGTACCGTAACATGACAAGGTGTCAGGGCTCAACATTTGGACCTGTTTTCTTTTGGTCATCCAGCGTTTCCTGTTTGGGTCTCTCTCCCTCCAGGTTTAATCACCTGCCTGTAGAAACAACGGTGCGTTTGTGTTCCTCACCCTCACTGAGTTGTCCTGGCTCGACGTGGCGAGGATGAACTCGTTGTCTGGATGCCAGTCGAGGCCGTGGATCTTCGACAGGTGAGCTGCCACGTACTCCGCCGCCGTGTTCGGCTTCTGTTCAGAGAGAATCACACAAACACTGACACCACTGATGTGACGTCACAAACAGCTGACTGCAGCTTCACACTGTGGCTGCTCACTCTTTTATCCCAGATCCGAACGTCTCCGTCGTGACTGGACGCCAGCAGGTACTGGTTCTTCCTGTTCCACTTCACCTGAGACGCTCCGGCTGGAGACGAGAGAGACGGAGAAGACGGGATGAAGAGAAGAGTGTCAGCTCAGAGAGGAAGAACAGGTGTGAACGTTCAGAAAACATGCTGACTAATGTTTCAGTCTTTAATTTCCACATCATCCATCAGTGTGTGGACGGAGACAGAAGAAAAACAGACGGACGACACGTAAAACATTTCACTGGAATAAAACTAAAAGACGGTCTGTCCCTTTAAATACTCACCGACAGCTGACAGCACCACCGTCGGTTTCCGAGTGTCTCTGTGGAGTCAAACAGAGCGACTGAAAACTGGACAACAAACAGCTGCTGCTGAGTCATTAAGATTAAAACTAATAAAACATAAATTAAAAATGAACATAAATTAATTTCAGTGTTGGATTTTTAGCTATAAAATATCAGGACTGTAAAAAGAAGACGGCCTATATTTCGATAAACCTTTGTGACACTAAACGAAGAGAAAACAACAACTAACTCTCCTGAAAAACTAAAACTAAACTGTTCTAAAATAACTAAATATCTAAAAACTAACTAAACTTAATATATTTAAAAACGTAACCTTTTTGAAAATTAAATAAATGTATAAAATTAAAACTAACCCTTTCTGAAAAACTAAACTAAAACTGACAAACACTCTAAAAACTAAAACTTAACAAGAACAGAAAAGTTATTTTAAAACTAAAATAAGATAAAAAGTAAAAAAAATCTAAATTAAAATAAAATAAAAAACCCAAATTGTAACTTGAGAGCTCTCTGCAGCTTCTTTATTTTTCCTAGCAAGACGACGTCAGAGCTCAGCGAGTTTCAGATCAATATAACTGTGATAAGATAAATTATTTATCTGATCTGTGATCAGCTCCAAACAGGTCAAAATATTTAGTGAATATTTATTACATGTCATGAATCAATAATCTGCTCTGACCTGGTGTCCCAGATGTAAATGTAGGTGTCCACTGAGCTGGTGACCAGGAACTCTGGTTCAAACCAGGACCAGTCCAGATCGCTGAGGATTACAGAGAGGCAGTGAACACAACACAGAGTCAGTGAACACATCACAGAATCAGTGAACACATCACAGTCAGTATACACATCGATGAGTCAGTGAACACACCACAGAGTCAGTGAACACATCACAGAGTCAGTGAACATACCAGAGTCAGTGAACACACCACAGAGTCAGTGAACACACCACAGAGTCAGTGAACACATCACAGAGTCAGTGAACATACCACAGAGTCAGTGAACACACCACAGTCAGTGAACACATAACAGAGTCAGTGAACACACCACAGTCAGTGAACAGAGTCTGTGAACACACCACAGAGAGTCTGTGAACACACCACAGAGTCAGTGAACACATCACAGAGTCCAAACAGAGGTGCGTTTGATGCTGTTACCTGATGACCCGAGTGTGTCCCTGCAGAGAGGTGTGAACTTCTCCACAGCCGTCACGCCACGAGTACAGATCCACACGCTGGTTACTCTGAAGACATACACACACACACACACACACACACTCAGAAACACACAGAAAGTATTTCAGCTGGGTTTATTGTGTGTGTGTGTGTGTGTGTGTGTGTGTGTGTTTTAGGAGCAGAACTCACCGAGGCGGCGAAGACGTGGGACTCTGACCTGTGAGGGTTCCACTGGACCGTCCCCACGTCCCATTTACTCTGTCGCCCAATTTTGCGCGGCGGCTCAGACGGAGCCTCGAGGTTCACCATGTACAGGAAACGCCGCCTGGACAATATTTAAAACAGGAAGTGACGCTGAGAAGAGTCTCCTCCACAGAGCAGGTGTTCATCCTCAGCAGGTGAAAACTAACGCTCAGTCAGTGAAGAACTGTGGTGCGTTCAGGTACTTACCCGGACAGTACAGCGTGTGAGCCCAGGCAGTCCACTGACATGGCGGTGGCCTGAAAACACAGAAGAAGAAAAAGAAAACAGCTGATCTGAAAATAATGTACTGTAGCACTGTGCCCAAGATGAATTTCCCTTAGGGGACAATAAAGTTTACCTTACCTTACCTTAACTGCTCATTACTTTCTTTTCTTTCCTTTTGAGTCTGTCGACTAAAATCAAATCTGACTGATACAAAAATTTAAATATTTAGGAGTCTGAAAAACATAATAATGATTTCGAGGATATTTGTTTGTTTTATAAACACTTGGATCTTTTCAACGTGGCTCTTAAATCAGAATCAGGTTTTCACTTTAGAGGAATCTGTCTTGTTTGGTGAACAACAATTAGAAACTTTCAGAGGAAATACAATGAGGAAAAAGACACCAGAAAAAATGACAAACATATTTTAAAATACTTTAATAAACGTGTACAGTGTAACTGAAGAAGAGAGTCTGAAACAATCTAAAGTGTGAAAATAAACTGTGTTTCTAAAATGACCTCAGATATTTTTCTCTGATCAGCTGACTGTTTGTAGAACGATGTAAATCATCAGTCTGACTCGTTTTCCCTGAACGCACCATACTGGCCTGAATTTAAACAGGTAAAATGAACCAACTTTCCACAGTGATGATAAAACAGAGCAGCAGCAGAGACAGTTTAAATGTTCAGCCCCATCACACTCTTCATTCTTTGATTTATACGACAACATTTATTCATTTTTTTTTTTTTTTTGAGTAGATACTTGATGTAAAATGCTGCCTCGGAGGCGTCTCACCTCGACCAGAGCACAGCTCTCTGATAAAACAACGATACTTCCTGTGGTCAGATTTAAAGATATTAAAAAATATTGTTTATCAGCAGCTTCAGTACAAAGAATCTGTATTTGCTGAGGCGCTGACAACATGTCAGACTGTAAATGGTTCATAAGGCAGCAGATGATTTAATCTACTTCTTTAACAGCTTCAACTTTTGTGGGGAATCATGAAAACGTGTGATGACAGTGAGGAGTCGACTGACTGAATGTGCACAGACTTTTCTGAGGATATCGCAGCTGTTGATCATTAGTTTTGTAGATGGATGAACGTTCTCAGAATCTTTCCACTAAACAAAATAAATATTTGAAGGATTTGTTATTTACAGGTTATTATGAAATGGTTTTACTGGTCCAGCCCCTTTAGATCAAACTGGGCTATTTGTGAGTTTGACAGCCCTGATCTTTACTGTGATTTTATCATGTTGATCTGTTCTGTGGACACGACATCTCCTGTCCATGTGTCCATCTGTCCATCTGTCCATCCATCTGTCCATCTGTCCATCTGTCTGTCCATCTGTCCATCTGTCTGTCCATCTGTCCATCTGTCTGTCCATCTGTCTGTCCTGGAGGAGGAATCTGTCCTCAGCTGCTCTTCATAAAGTTCATACTTTTTATCCACGTTAAAGTTTTTTGGGGAATGTAATCTTCTCTGCTGTGACGGTCTGAGAGCAGAGGGAGGTGCATGTTGTTTAATATAAAATATAATATAATATAAAAATATATTAAGTTTAGTTTTTATATATTTTGTTTATGTTTGTTGTTGTTGTTTTCAGAAAGGGTTAGTTTTAAGTTTTATACATTAAGTTGAGTTTCCAGAAGAGGTTATCTTTAATCTTTAAATATTTAGGTTTTCGTAAAGTTTTAAGGTGATTGATGAAATTGGACTTTATATAAATACAACTTAAGTGAACACTGAAAACAATTTAAATCACCCAGATATATTTATATTAATCATCTGTAAACTTTAATGGACTGATGGTTTAATTTATTCATGAACTCGTGATGTGTTTGAATCTGTCGGGAAACTGAAGCTTCAGATTAATGTGGTGGAGCTGAAGTAAAGAAAAAACAACTCCAGTGAAGAACCTCAAACTGAGACTTGGTCACATTTCTCCACTAAACTTCACATTAAAGATCTTAAAGTAACTTCTATTTAATAATGAATCATCTCTGATCTATTGATTATGTATCTCCTCTATGATCAATAACTTCTCTCTGACCTGCTGCTCTGACTTTCAGGACGAAGCTGTGACCGGAACATGTTTTTAACTCCTTCCGATCATCTGAATATGAACATATGATCGATTAACTGCTGCAGATCAAACATTAATGAGTCAAAGTAAAATAAAGTGTGGCGCTGTAGACTTTGACTGTGTTTCACTTTTCCTGACGCCCTTAAACTCCCCTCCACCTGTTCACCTGTCCGTCCCTTTGATCCCACCGGAGCTTTCGGGCGCACATACCTGGGCATCCCGAAACTCCACCACCACATTCTCACTGCTCCAGCGGGCCGCCATCTTCCCTTCGTCCTCTACCGTCAACAAAACGTCACGTGACCGTGAAGAGGCGTGACGCTGCGTTCAAGACCCCCTGGAAGAAATGGAAATATTAAATCAAAGCGATGATTCCCGTGAAAATATGAAGACGGTGGGCCTTTTCTATTTATATAAAAATATATGTTACTCCTGCTATGTTATATGTGTTTGTAGATGTTTGTGTACTTAATAATTTATTTGTTTAATTTAATTTATGTTGTTTCATCATATTTATAGTTACAACTTTTTTAACATGTATGTTTGCATGTGTCACGCGTATTTTTCCTTTTCTTTTAAATTAATCTAAAAATTAAAAAAAAAGCTGAAAATACTTTAAATCAACAGCTGCTTATTGACAACTCATAATTCTACAGCTTAAATATTAATAGTAACGACAAAAACATGTTTTGCAATTCTTTGTTCAAATATAAAAGATGAAATGAAGACTGAAATGAAGATAAAAAAGAAGAACTTAATATGAATTTAAACATCTTAGCGTCACACATAATTTACACTAAAATATGTGCCTAAATATTACACTTTTTTAAAATTAATTTCTGTAATTCAACAAAACAATGACAACAGCGCTTCTAAAAAAAAATCAATGACAGGGAATAAATTACGAATTATGGGGAAAAAAACATGGTTATAAACTCCACATGTTGAGAATAATATAAAATGAGTCTGCTGTTATTTTACAGACATGTTGGTGTGGGAGTGTAGAGCAAAGATACATGTCAGAAATAAATAGAACTAAAACAATATTCACAATCAAGAAAAAATAAAACCAAAATAAAATAATTTACTTTATTGATGAAAAGAACGTAAAAACATAAACTCATAAAACTATAAATAAAATACAAATATGACTCTAAACAACAAACATCAATCAAAAACAAATTATTGGCAAATCATTCCGACATTTAAACCACAAAATAAACTATGAAAATAATAAAATATATGTATATCTTTACAGGTGTTTAAAGTCAGGAGTTCATGAACGCATCACATCTCTGTCTCGTGCCTGTTTCGTCACTCTGATTGGTCGGTCCTGATGCTGGTCATAGATCCAAGATGGCGCCTTCCCTGGTGGAGCATGTTGTCGCAGACGCAGGAGCGTTTTTAAAGAAAGCTCCTCTACAGGTCAGACTTTATTCATGTGTTCATTAATTCATGTTTGAACCGAAAAGTAATCTTTTTATAAAAGTAACGATCCGTGAGTGAGCGCGTGACTGTCGGTGGTTTCCGTCAGAGACCGGAGAGAAACTAACGGCTGTGACGTTCAGGGCCCTCAGCTGACAAACATATATTAACATAATTTATACATTCTATGAGTTTATGTGCAGTTTATACACGATACAGTTGTATTTTTTATTACACAAAAAACCCCAAAGTTTCACTTCGCACATTAAACATTTCTGGACTGAACTCAGTAACATTAAGGTTAATAAATATTTACAAATGATTGCATTTTGTTTTAAATTACGTTTAACGCAGCGTCCAGACTTTTCTGGAATCAGGGTTGTCGTATCTGTTCACCTGTGAAGGTTCGCTCCTGATGATGAAAGTGATTTGGGATTATTTTACAGTTAGTTGTTGTGATTTGTGTTTCAGGAGATCGGCAGGAACATCTACACACTGAGAGATGTGGTGGACGAGATCAGAGACAAACCAACCAGGAGGAGTCTGGCCTTCCTGCCGTACCAGCTCAACTTCAAAGAACCGCATCCTGAACACATCAGACTGGGTAAACTGACCCCGAACGCATCACACTGGGTGAACTGACCCTGAACACATCAGACTGGGTAAACTGACCCTGAACACATCAGACTGGGTAAATTGACCCTGAACACATCAGACTGGGTGAACTGACCCTGAACACATCAGACTGGGTAAACTGACCCTGAACACATCAGACTGGGTGAACTGACCCTGAACACATCAGACTGGGTAAATTGACCCTGAACACATCACCCTGGGTAAACTAAACTGACCCTGAACACATCACGCTGGGTAAACTGACCCTGAACACATCAGACTGGGTAAACTGACCCTGAACACATCAGACTGGGTAAACTGACCCTGAACACATCAGACTGGGTAAACTGACCCTGAACACATCAGACTGGGTAAACTGACCCTGAACACATCAGACTGGGTAAACTGACCCTGAACACATCAGACTGGGTAAACTGACCCTGAACACATCAGACTGGGTAAACTGACCCTGAACACATCAGACTGGGTAAACTGACCCTGAACACATCAGACTGGGTAAACTGACCCTGAACACATCAGACTGGGTAAACTGACCCTGAACACATCAGACTGGGTAAACTGACCCTGAACACATCACACTGGGTAAACTGACCCTGAACACATCACACTGGGTAAACTGACCCTGAACACATCACACTGGGTAAACTGACCCTGAACACATCACACTGGGTAAACTGACCCTGAACACATCACACTGGGTAAACTGACCCTGAACACATCACACTGGGTAAACTGACCCTGAACACATCACACTGGGTAAACTGACCCTGAACACATCACACTGGGTAAACTGACCCTGAACACATCACACTGGGTAAACTGACCCTGAACACATCACACTGGGTAAACTGACCCTGAACACATCACACTGGGTAAACTGACCCTGAACACATCACACTGGGTAAACTGACCCTGAACACATCAGACTGGGTAAACTGACCCTGAACACATCACACTGGGTAAACTGACCCTGAACACATCACACTGGGTAAACTGACCCTGAACACATCACACTGGGTAAACTGACCCTGAACACATCACACTGGGTAAACTGACCCTGAACACATCACACTGGGTAAACTGACCCTGAACACATCAGACTGGGTAAACTGACCCTGAACACATCACACTGGGTAAACTGACCCTGAACACATCACACTGGGTAAACTGACCCTGAACACATCACACTGGGTAAACTGACCCTGAACACATCACACTGGGTAAACTGACCCTGAACACATCACACTGGGTAAACTGACCCTGAACACATCACACTGGGTAAACTGACCCTGAACACATCACACTGGGTAAACTGACCCTGAACACATCACACTGGGTAAACTGACCCTGAACACATCACACTGGGTAAACTGACCCTGAACACATCACACTGGGTAAACTGACCCTGAACACATCACACTGGGTAAACTGACCCTGAACACATCACACTGGGTAAACTGACCCTGAACACATCAGACTGGGTAAACTGACCCTGAACACATCACCCTGGGTAAACTGACCCTGAACACATCACCCTGGGTGTGTGTTCTGATGCTACGTGTGTTGGGCTCCTGCTAACAGTGTCTCGTTGTGTTTCCTGTTTCAGTGACGGAGTTCTCCAAGAAGACCGGAGACTACCCGAGTCTGTCGGCCACCGACATCAAAGTCTTGGCTCTGACGTATCAGCTGGAGCTGGAACACGTCGGCTCCAAACACCTGAAGAAAGAGCCGGAGATCAAGGTACCTGAGACGCTACTGTCACTGAGGAGCTGAGAACATGAGACATGAGACGTGTGGAACGATGAGGAGGCTGTAACCTTCCTCACATTAACACATCAGACACTCCCATCATGTCCTCCACGCTCTGAATAACCTGCTGCTTCTTTCTCTGTGGTGGATTAATGGCATCTGACTGCAGAGTGAAGGTGGAAGTGGATTTATGCTAAGCTATGCTAAGCTATGCTAACACAGTCCCATGTTATTGATTGACCTGATTTCTCCCGACTGTCTGTGAATGCAGCGTGATTCAGTTGGTTGACTCAGTAACATTTGAACGTTTTGTGTTTCAGGTGAACGTTCAGAGCACACAGCGCCACCCAGAGACTCCTGTTAATGTTGCAGGATTCCACTTCCCCTCCAAGGTAAGACACGGGTCACAGATCTGTTTAAAGCACACACACACCAAACCGACGTCGGGGAACTAGCGGCGACGAGCCCCCTGCTACGTCACCTCTTGCGCATGAACACACCAAGCCAACGGCCAACGCATATGTTTTGCTCCTGCTGAGAGGAAATAAGTCTCCACAGCAGCAGACGGCGGTCGTCTGTATGCATCATTGAAAAATGGAAACAGGAAGAGCGTCTTGATGCTAGTTAGCCAGTTAGCACATGAACAACACAGTCAGAGCATATTTACCGTGCGCCAGTGAACAATAACACAAAACATCAGGAAACGTTTCTGCTGAAGAGAAAAATAATCTGACCTGATGGAACAAGTTGGTTTGGTCTCCCTCCATCTGGACTTTAGCTCCTCCTTTACTCACTGACGCTGCTCTGCTCCTCACCTGAGCTCAGCTCACAGTCAGAGGGAGGTCTAATGGGCTCCACTGTGCAAAAGCCAATGAGGGCCAACAGTGGGGGCACCACACCAGCGAGGGTGGCAGACGCTCACAGACGGCCCAACTTTGACCGGCGGCTGACTGTCAGCTTGGTGTTTCAGGGCTTTAAATGATCATCTGTACGTTGTTTCTCTCAGGAGAGTAAAGTCTAGAATGTGTCTGCATGTGTAATAAACCCTGAAACATTCGTCCCCTCAGAAACGTGTGGACAGTGTGGACAGTGTGGACATCCCACAGACTCAGAGAGAGACAGAGACGTCAAACAGTGACGAGTTCAACAGCTTCCTGTTCTGGAGAGAGCCGCTGCCGTCCATCGACAGCGACCTGCTGGATTTACTGGTGAGTCGGACCGACTGTTAAACTCTATGCATCAAACTACGAGCTCACCACCAGAGAGGAGCTCCGTGTTCGTCCTCCGTCACTGCAGCTTACTCAGGCTGAGCGTGAGGAGTCCTCAGAGACAGACTGTCCAGGTCCACCTGGACTTCAGGAACTCATTTATCAGCTGTGAGAGTGCCTGAGAGTGAGAGTGTGTGTGTGTGTGTGTGTGTGTGTAAAGTCAGAGTCAGTCCAGACTTAGTTTACTAGCGACACCTGTCTACATGTGTCCACAGATATTTTTCCCTCCTTTTAAAAATGTTTTCATCCACAAGACCTGGTTTTATAAAACATCTCTCGTCCAGGCTCGACTGACAGGAGACAGAAACAAACACTGACACAGTTAACTCAGAGTGCCACGCTGTCAGCTCACTGCTGCTCATGTCATTGTGTCGTTGGTGTTCCTCCAGGACCCTGTCGAGGCTCTGAATTCAGCAAACACACAGAAACAGACGGACACACAGAAACAGACGGACACACAGAAACAGACGGACACACAGAAGTCTGCTGTGACGGCCGACAGTGACGAGTTCAACAACTTCCACTTCTGGAGAGAGCCGCTGCCGCCCATCGACGACAGCCTGCTGGATTTACTGGTGAGATTCCGAAACATCAGCTGGACGCAAACGCGACTCCGACAGTGGAGTCAGCGTTAAATGTTTTCATAACTCCGGGCGGAGACACGTCGGCTCTTCTGGACTCTGGTTGTTGTTGATTGGTTGTCGTGGTGACCTTTGATGTTGTTTGTGTTCAGAAAGTGGACGACGTCTCCACAACAGAGAGCAGGTTGGACACATCACCGCAGATGCAGGAGTCAGAGGACCAATCAGACGACGCGGACAAAGAGAACGAGCCTGAAGACGAAGATGAGGAGGATGATGATGATGGAGGAGGATGGATCACTCCCAGTAACATCAAACAGGTGAAGATGGACTCAGCTGATGGGACGGCTCCTGCTGACGTCAAAGTCGGATGTCTGACCACTGACTTCGCCATGCAGGTAACTTTCAGTGAGGTCACCGGGAGGCGGCGAGACGGAAAGACGTCTGACGCTTTATTCATCTCTTTTAATTTGTACTCTGATTTTTCAAATTCAGATTTGTCTCAGTTAATGTGACAGTTACTCTCTGGATTCAAAGTTAAGTTGATAAACTGATAAACTGGACGTTGTGTTGTGTCTGTGAGCAGCGTCCTGTCGGAGCTGACAGGTTAAATTATGATGTGTATTAATGAGCAGGTTACAGATGAATGTTTGACCAGTTCCTCAAAGCTCAACACGACGGCTTCAGATATCTTGTTTCATTTGTCCAAACCCAAAAACATCCAGTTTGTCTCACAGCAGACAAAGAAGAGAGTTAACGTCTCCATCAACAGATTCTCTCTTCATCAGTGACTTGATAATTTCAGCTCTGATCTCTTGTGTTTGCAGAACGTTCTCATTCAGATCGGACTTCATGTTCTGTCTGTTAACGGGATGCTGATCAAACAGGCGAGGAACTACATCCTGAGGTGTCACGCCTGCTTCAAGTGAGTACGACACGTTTCACCGTCACAGGTTTAGTCATCGATACCAACACCAGTAACATTCTACAATTCTTGATCCGGAATTAAAGTGAAAAATAAATAAATAAATCCCATTAAATTAAACACATTCCTTTATTAAGAATATTAAAATTAAATTTAAATTTGATTACTCAGCCTGATGAGCCGCCTCAAACACAGTGTCTATATATTAAAGGGAAATTTTGGTTTATTTCAACCTGTCTCCTATCGTCCTAAATTTGTTTCAAGTGACTAGTGACATAAAAATAATAGTTAGCATGTTAGCCGTTAGCCTAGATACAGCCGGGGCGCATAGTAGCGTCAGACCTGTTAAAACGTAAGTGAACGGGCAACCTTCAAGTGCAAAGTTAGTCCACTAAACAAGCTTTTTTTCC